TGATCAACGAAACTGGTTACGTACAGTGATCATGTTAAATTTACCCTCTTATTGTACTTACATAAGAGTATGTCTGCAGTTGATGAACCAATCCTTGCTTAAAATCGATAATTGTCGCTTCTGTTAATCAAAAGTAATAATAAATAAATAGTTGTGATCAAAATAATTTTAATAAGTGTTTGTACAAAACGAAATATACTAGGCTTTGGAGCATATTTGAAATTCATAATTTAGTAAACTATAATTTTTCACATTTGCAGTGCAATTTGTTTTATACAAGGAGGTACAGAGAATCTGGTCTTTGATCTTTTAAAATTTCCAACTAACTTCTGTCTAGCGTAATCTCTATCTAACAACTACTGGTTCTATTTCTTCCACTTGACTAAGAAATCACACATACTTAAATACCATTTTGGTAGCTATGTGTGGGCCACACAGGACAACTGACCTTGGAGGATTAAACATCCTTTTAGAACACTAACCCAAACACAGTCTGAGTTTCATGCGACTTTCAGATGCGAGCTACAAACTTCTTGAAGCGCACCAATAGAAACTAAAGTAAATAGGATCTTTAGTAAAAGATCCACACCAAAGCCAGCAGATGAACCCAAACATGATCATTGATGGGGTATTGTTTGGAGATTAAGTAAATTTTCTCTGTGTAAGCAGTTGGCACTAGCATCACAACACTAATGTGGTGGCTACAAAATGATACACAACTGATGATGGTGAACCAAAAATACTCAGTTCTGTGCTTATTGCTAGTTTGTGGCCCAGACTGCTACATACAAATTAAACAAAGTTAAAGTATCATAAGCAAAATTACTGTCAACACACAGTTCGGCGTGCAGCCTATCTGTGGGTAAATTGTACATGTATCCTGTTTACACAGTTTATTCATAATACATGCAAATACTTTGCGGACTGAGTTATTTTGAAAATTTGATAGTACTTGTCAAAGTTTACATCAAATTTCAAGGTTATCAGAACAGAAAACAAATAGGAAAGATTGTCTAGAACAGATTGAAAAGGATATTCAGGCCTGGCCAAATATTTTATTTTGCTTGACTCACATTTTTGTCTTCCTGTTTTTCCTTGTCAGTTGTGGAGTTTAATACAATCGGACCCCATTTATTTATTCCAACTTGGTTATTTCCAATGCCCTGTTATTTCAGTCTCAAAACCATTTCCCTCGAATTTGTCCTTCAGTTATTTACTATACAAAAAAAAAAATTACTATTGCTATTTTTCGTTCCTCCTGAGAGC